CTACGTTCCTGGTATTAATAAACCGAGTTCAATTACTTTAAAACTGAAACATTTTGCTTTAAATTATATTCGCAATTTTTTTTTCTTAAATTAACTATATAACAATGATGTCTCCGCAAACTTCAAATCAAAATCGAAATGAGCTCATGTTCCACGCTACATTTCTTGATGGTATTCGTGGTGTGGCAGCTTTAGGTGTCGTTTATACTCACACCCAGAATATCGGTAAACAACGTTTGGCTTTTAAGACATTCGACAAATTTGGAACTTATGGAGTAATCATATTCTTTGTACTTTCCGCTTTTTTACTTACTCTTCGGACGCTATTGGATTGGGAACAGTATCGCGAAAAGAGGGAAGAGGAAAAAAATACCAATTCAGATCATTTAGAAAGTGGTGTTGACCGCGAGCAAAACTTATTGAACGTCCCGCTCTTATCGCTGACAGATTCTGATTACATAGTAATGTCTTACTGTACTAATATATTTGATTGAAATTATTTTATAATTATGGCTAATCGTTTATTAATAAAATATTAGACTCAAAAATCATCCTTATTAGAAGAAAAGCCTAATAATTTTTTCAACTATTATATCCGAAAAAAATATGGCTAAAATATCAAATGCCAATAAAATTTTGGTTAAAGTTCTTTCTTCGTCGATTTATGCGTGTATACCCACCATATGCGATTCTTTTACTGTTTATTGCATTTAATGGTTTTACGAGAAAGGCATATTCAAATTTTATGGATTCCTCGACTTTAATTACGCATCTATTTTTTCAAACAAATAAAAATTCTATTTTTTGGACTATTCCTGTAGAATTAACGGTATTTATTTTTCTAATTTGATATTTTCACCAGTCCAAATCAAAAATTTCGATATTTCGAACGCACCATTCGCATGCCATTCAGTATATGTTTGTTGAGTGATGGTCGAATGGCAGCTGAATGGTGCCGTTCAACATGTCGAACCTTTTGATTTTAATTAGTGATTTCCCTTCATAATGTATTAAAATTTATAAACATACCTGTTATATATAGTATTATTTATGTATACCAATAATTGTCATCGGATATGTGGAGTTTGCTCGTTTTGGTGCTTTCCTTACAAACCGTTACCAGAAACCTGCAATTGGTGCTTGGATATGTCGAGTAATTGCTAATGTTATTCTTATGACTATACGAACAAAATTTTTAATAGCACACAGTGAAGAATACAGTAAAAACGAAACCGGTTTTCACAAAACTGGTTTTTTGGGCACTATTCATATCTTTTTGACTGGATCAATATGTGCAATTTGGTATAGAGAAATAATTCGTCTTGGAATGTTGCCATTGAGCTTAGAAGAAGAAGATATTCTTGCCAATGAATCAAATAATTGTAATATACCTACAAGACTGAGTTTTGTTAAAATAATTATTAGTAAATTACCGAGTCGACATCAGTTTGCAAGATGTTTTTTTGACTTTGGATGTTATTTATTAGTTCTCTTGAAGTTTTGTACATTGCCTCATCCAGCTCAAAAAATTTTTGGCTTACCTCGCACTACTCATGAAATAATTATAGAAAGACAAAAACTTGGTGGTTTGCTCGACGCAATACTAATTCTTTTTGGCCTTCTCTCCCGCAAAGGCTCTTTTGTAAAGGCACTTTCTTGTAATTTTTTACGTTTTTGTGGACAAATTTCATTTAGTATATATTTATTACATC